CATTTCTTATTTTTTAATATTTAAATATGCTATGGAATAAATTTAAGGTTATTTGCTTTAAATCAATATTAGCATTTAAAGCAGCAAAGAAAGAGAGGATATGTTTGGTGTGCTGAAATATTTCTCTAAGTTTAATGTGATGAAGGTTTCTCTTTCTCTACCTTCCTTCCTAGCACAAGTGAATCGCCTTTCTAAACTCAGGGTGAAAATCTCTATGAACCACTGACAATATAGCACCTTGTCAATCCTGAGGTGCAAAAATCTTGGTAGAATGACCATAAGAATTGATATCCTAATGAGTCACACTTACAAATGAGAGTATCACTAATGAAATTTGAAAACAAAAATTGACCTAAACCCAGACACAAACTCAAGACTACCTCAGAGAGAAACATGAAGGCATGCAATCATCCTGGATAGTCACAATACCCATAGAAAATGCCTGCTTTTATTTGTTCCTAGTAAACAAAACCACAGTAAAACAAAGCCATAAAGACAGTATTATGGTGCACTTAAATCTATAAGATGTCAATCATTTTTCCATCTTGTATACTTCATGCTATAATATATTCCTTATTTAGAGTTTTATCTGTAATATTAATCTGGAATGATTTAAAGAAAATTTACAATGAATATTAAATTGGTCTAATTTCTAAAACAGAGTATGCTGTGAGTAGATTATCCTCTTGATCTTTTAGTATGGAAATATTCTGCACATTGCAAACCATTATTAATAACATTTCGTGTGTAGCAGAAAACATAACACAATTTCCCTTTCCACCAACTCTAGAGTGAAAATCTATCACAGGTAAACTTCACATTATGACCTACAAAGTCATTGAATGGTTAAGTTCATTATAGCTCTCTGGAACAACACAAGGAATTTGAACCTTTATTGAAATATTGGGCCCTGAAAATAATGCATTTTTGTGCAGCATGTTATACATTTTTGTTTATTTTCTTACTCTAGGTCAGTCTTTCTGAAACTATTGAAATCATGTCAGATGGAGATTTTATATATATATATATATATATATATGTACGTATATGCATACACACATCCACACATGTGTTTATAGATGGTATATATATATAGGTGTGTGTATATATACACACATGGTATATATATATACATATATATAGGTGTGTGTATATATATGTGTGTATACTAGGTATAAAGTCTATGTGTATATATATATGTGCACATATACATACACATATGTGTATATATAAATATATACCTAGTGTGTCTCTCTGGTGTATATGCAAAAAATAAGAGACTTTCAGAACAGAAGGGCAGAAAGGCTTGCAAGCCACAAAGACAATCTGATACCACACCACTTCTGGGTCCAGTACTCTCTGAGTATGTGTTGAATGAATATCCAAGCAGGATGTCTAATTGCATCAGTCTAAATTCAAAGCATCTCAATGGTAATATTAAAATATGAGTGGCAGAAGGAGGGAAAACAAGCAAACAAATGACCACTTGTACATTTCTAGATTAGGATACTATGATTCCTAGAATCTGATACATAGAAGAATTTCCCATTTCTATTTAGCCATCTGTCTCTGAATTCCTGTCCAAACCATTTATAATCAGAGCCTTAGTATCAATGCCAAGAATCTAAATTTTTTAAAAAAAAGAAGAGATGGATCCTCCAGAGGAGTTCATTGGTAATTCTTGAGACTTATTTTGTTAGGTTTTATTACTATACTAAGCAGTGTTTTCCAAACTCCCAAGAGAAAGAAATTTGACCATTAATGTTTCTGGTGGGTTAGGGAAAAAGAAACAATGTTAAAACAGCATATAATACTTTCCAATTTCCTCCATGCTAAATGGTGGAAAAGTATAGTTAAATTCTTTTGAGTTGTTATACAAAGTATATTCTGATTGTGTGTCTTCAGATGTAAATGTTTTCATAGAAGATTTCAGTTTGTTTAAAAAAGGAGTGTTATTGTTTGAACAAATGAACAAAATCATTTTGATTACAAAGTTCCTCCTTTTGATTTCAAAGTTACTGCCATTCTTGACAAGTTCATATAAATTTCAAATGATACTTGTTATGTAGCTTGTATCCAATTGAGATGATGAATATTGATTGTCAAGTTGATTGTCCTGAGAAAGATCAAGGAGATTAAGAAAGCCTTAAGTTTGTCAGTAAAGTCATTTCTAGAGACAATTAGATAATGAATTATCCAAATGGATAATTCAGTCCATTGATGGATTAAAATTTTGATAAACTATTGGCAGGTGATAGGATTGGAGGAAGGGCAGTCAAGTTGGAAGTGACTGGGCTGTGTCCTTGGGGTTTTTATCTTGCCCTGATCTTTTATGCTTGTTCCTCTTTCTGGATTTTCTGTCTATCTTGATGTGAGCAGATCCACTAAAACCCCCTTGACATGATGGACTGAAACTTCTAAACCCAGAAACAAGTCTTTCCTCCCATAAGTTATTTTTGTGATGTATGTGCTCACATTGACAATAAACCTAAGGAGAACGTGAATTACATTGATTTCAACATGAATGTGTTACTCCCATTCTCCATGCATGATCCATTTCTCTAGGAAGTTAGAAGTTAGTCTGTATACAGGCTTCCCTTCCTGTCAGTTACCTGGCTGCCGCACCAACCTCTGAAGTCTTTCTTCTCCTCCATCTCTATCTACTGAATTATCTTAGCCCCTCATTGTATCTCATTGTTTCTTTCATAAAAATCTCCCTGGGGAATCTCTAGGCTTATATGGTGTTAACTTGCCTTCCTCATTGCCTGCTATATAGATTTTTCTATGCTTCTGCTCAGACCCTAACTTCTTACATGCCCATAGTCCTGTAATCTCACAAATAGAAGGGTGAAAGTTGGAGTAAAATTACACAGGAGTAATTTCAAGTAGTGCTCATCAAATTCCATGCAACAGGCAGAACACCAGGAGAAATGATGACTTTGACTAAGCTCTTTATGTGGGAGAGATAATCTGCTTTCTTATCTCCCTCAACCTCCCAAGTAAACCTCAGGATACAGCTTAGTTAAATACAGAAATAAACAGTGTTCCAAATGACTGTGCTAGGCCTATATTCTATTCAGGCCCAACATCTGACTATAGTTTATCTTTTATTTGATTCACTTTTTCTCTCAGTCTTGCATTATCTGGGGCAGTGGGTGATCAGAGAGGTAACTAGGTAAATAGAAGACCACAAAGTATGTGGTAAAATGTTGGAAAAACTGAACAATTCCAAGATTCACTCAGCAGCCTCAAGTAGCCAGCATCAAGATGTTGGCGAATGCATCAATAAATGGATTAATAAAGGATGACTAACACCTCTATCCTCTATCTAGAGGAACAGAGAAATGTTCCACTTTTTACATGCGTTGATGTCATAAAGCAGTGATTGCTTTATATCAAAATAAGGAAAGATCACTTAAGCTAAGATTGCTTTTCAGGGAATAAGTTGAAAAAGAAAAAAGACTTCACTAGTCAGAAAAGTATTTTATTTTCCAGCTTCTAAGAAGGTCCTACAAACAATAGAGCTTTAAAGTAAAAAAATTAAAAAGAAAAGATAAAAGGAAAACAAGTATTTTTAACTAATGAAAAGTAGACAGCCTTAAAAAAATCTTCGACATAAAAATGGAAAATGTAGTCAATTCTCTTCCAAATACATTCTTAGGAGGAAAAAGGATCATTCATAGTGACAGCGTTACTTACAGAGCATACTTGTTTAAGTGCTATTCCTATTCCTTTTAAGTTATTTTTTCATTTCAAATTCAATTGGAGATCTGTGCAAACCTAGCAAAATATTCTTTGGATTATAAAAAACTATATAAAAAATGAACACGACCTGCAATTATGGAAGTATTGTAATCCTTCACTGGTATGAATGATTTTGAAGTGGCATTGCCCACAGACTTTATTCCGTTGAAGTGTTCAGCCAATTTGATTGAAATGCAGAGGAAAATGGGAGTGAGCACCTCGTAAACACATTTCTCTTTGTCTGCATTTATCAAAGTGATGAAAATAGTATGGAACAGGATATCAAGAAATGCTTGAAACAAACTTTCACCATGAAGTAAGAAAGAAAATGATAGTCTAAACATTGTTTGACCACCCCCCAAAAAAAATCACATGCCTTGTCTTTAAGGGGGAAAAAAATGAGAAACTGCTTGCAGCATAACTTTGTATAGTCCTTCCCCAACTATTGCGACATTTTGGCCCTACTGTTGACCTGAAAATGCCCTTCATGTAAGTCCCAATCCCTAGAGCTGGATGTGGGGTGGATGATGGTAGGTATCTAATGGATCAAATGTATTCACACTCAGAGCCAACATGGTCTTCTGCTCTCATTTTGAGCTTATGGCTCCAACCATTTTCTAAAACAAAATATTTTGAGCTTAACTGACCCTTCTCTTAGCTTTTGCTAAGATAGTCACATTGCTTCGAGATAGGTCTTAAAATCACAGGAGGGAAAAAAAAAGATAAATTTAGACTGTCCAAAGTCAGACCATCAATATAAAGAAAAATGGGGTAACATTAAAGTTGAGACTCTTCCAGTTCTCAAATACTAGGATAGGGCATAAAATCTACAGGATGTAAAACTACTTAAGGGATCTACACCTTCAGAAATCTGCTAGCTTTAATTCCCTCATGAATTGGACTCTCCTACTCATGACAGTGCAGATATATGAGGTAAATAAATGTATATTATATAATGTATTGCAAATTGGGATTTACCTAGACCTCTAAACATCTTTCTTTAGGGGATGTGTGTAAAGAGAAGCCAGAAGGTTAACACTAAAAGCTACACAGAAATGCTTCACATGATGTTACATAATCTTGTCTGTAAAAATTTAAAAAAAAACACTTGAAACATATTTAACTTTAAATAAACAACAAAATCGGCAGACTACACAGATCATAAATAGGGTTATTAAAAGATCACAATTCAATCAGAAATGGAAATGGATCATTGGAAATCCAAATTTTTTTCCATGTTAAGAATCAAACCAGAATTAAAAAAGAATCTTTTTTTTTATTTCAAAGGTTGCTTCTTATATTGAAGCTCATATTAAAGCAACAGTACAATGTTCATAAAATATAAGTGTGATGCTGTAACATTTTCTTACATGTCAGAATACTGATATTTGTATGTATACTAAAATAAGAACTTTAAAATTGTACAAATAGATACATTAAAAATGACATAGAAATAGGGCGTTCCTCACTGAAACAAGACAGTTATATCTGGCACGTATTAGTTTAAAATGAAAGGAGAAGCAAAAAGATTTACAAGAATCAGCAGTAACAAGTTTGATGCTCAAGAGACATAATTGTACATTGTTTTGTACATACATTGTATGGGTTTAAGCTGGCTGAATATTATATATTTCAAGTTTAAAAATGCACTACATAAAGAGTGTCCATAGTTTAAGGCGAAATTACAGCTCAGAACTGTTGTCCTTTCTAATTTTGTGGAAGCATCTTTGACAAATTAAAAAATTAAAGAAGAAAGACTTAGATGTTCAGAACACATAAACAATTTCTCTTCCTTGTAAGTTCACCATTAGACTTCTTCACTTAAATATTTTGTATGCCAAGTGGTTTTTCTCCAGGGAAGTTGACAACTTCAATATTTGCCTTTTTCTTTTTGTTGTGGGAAAAGGTATTTCACAGTATTTACCACTTTGATGTCCTTTTGCAGTTTTATTAAACGTTATCCTCTCTGTAAAACTTCGCTTGTTTTAAATGAGCCTTTCCTTGATTTAAAAAAATACCTGTTTACACATCTTCTAGATTCTTGAGAATGCCAGACACAGTTCTTAAGGCCAAATTTGTATCGTTATTGTTAAGAATCATCGTCAAAAGTGTCTTTGGAACCGTACAAGTCTGCTAGTTTCTTAAAACGAGGTCCCCAGTTCTGTAGATAGTCATAATCCAAGTCTGAGTCTGTCGTGGCAGACTCTAAGGTGCTGAGGGACCCGGCCACCGACCCCCGGCCCTCGTAGCCATAGATTTGGATGGAGTCGTAGGGGGGAGCCGTGGGGTCATTATCAGCCTCCTGTATCCTTGTGTTGATGAAATCATCCACATCCACACTGTTGGGCGCAGGCCGCAGCCCTGGTCTAGGCATATACTGATACTCAGGCTTGATGTCTTTTCGAGGGATAAATCCATTGATACCATCTGGATTCTGGAGGGTGGCGATATCAAAGGCCTCCGTGTCTTCCTCCCCGCCTCCTTCATCATCGTAGGTGATGATATTTTCGCGGACATCCTCCTCCTCAAAAACAATGAGTGGCTCTTTCTTTTGTCTCCTCAAGGTCACAAACAACACAACAATGACTACAAAGGAAGTAAAGGAAAGTCAGTGGAGGATGACATCCTTCCTCTCTTCCTCCCCCACCCCCAACCCCAAAGCGTTCCCAGGGAGATTCACTTCCCAAAGGAATCCTCTTTCTATGGAAAGGATAAGTGTATCAATGCTTAAGAATCGGAAGTGACAAAAATAAATAAATAAGACATTGCCTAGAAATCTCCAAAGACAAAGACAGTTGACCATCCACTGTAACTCTGTGAAATCGGCCTATGACTTGGGAAGTTGACTGCGTGCTGCTTAGAAACACTATGACCAAGGAATCCCAATGCTCAATGCTAAGAATTGGAATTAAAATTCCAAATATGTCAGTCCATGGTTTCTTAAGAGAAAGCTAATCCTAGATTTCTTCCATTTGCAAACCCCTATGAAAATTTAAGAATGAGGACATTCAATGAATTTAGGATCTATTTTTCCCACAGGAGGTAATATCTAGCGTTTGTCCCAGAGGTCTTGAAAATACCAATGACCCTACTATAAAATAAAAAGGTGAATGGCTGGAACATATAAAGACCTCCAGGAGAAAAAAAATCTCCCATTTATTTGAACATTGTTTTAAAAATCTGGAAAAAGGAAGTCCTACAGAGGAGGCACTGAGAAATATCCCATTAAATTTCAACACTCAAAGAAGAGCTCAGACACTGCCTAATTCTTTATTGATACCACTGGCCTTCACTTAACCCTTCTAGGAGGCTTCTACAATGTTTTATTAGCAGGCTCTCCCCCACACACTCAACAAGACTGAAGAAATGTTTCTGGAGGAAATTGGCCAATAGACTAAGAAAGAGCATCTCTAAACACATCACTCTGAGAGGCACGTGTCAGAGAACACACTTGCGGTAGACGTCCTGTGGTTCCCAGAACTTTTTAACCTTCTTCCCTTAGACAGTGCTTTCCATTTTCAGTATTTCCTGGGATTCCCACCACACCTGCCACCAGGCTGTTGGTCACTGTGTCATGCACCCCACCTACCTTGCTCAGTTTTCACCATAACCTTTTATTTGTACTTTACGTTGTACCTCTCTCCCATCAGTTATTCATATTTTCCTATTATCTTCAATGTCCATCTACATTTACCAGCTGGAAAACTCTTCTTTTGTGCAATAATTCCCAAATGTCTCAAACTTCAGTGTGTGTCAAGGACTTTTCCTCAGTGCTCCCGCTATCCCTCTTCATATTCTTATCACAGCAGCCCACATGTGTCTCTGTTACATTTGTTCTTTTTCTTAACAGGCTATGGACTCATCCCCCCAAGGAAGTCTTGTTTAGTTTTCTTTATCCTTCAAATATGAACATAGGGTAGGACTTGATCCCCAGGTAACACTCGATAACTATTTTTCTTAACTGAACTCACTGGTGCTTGCCTATGGAGTTGTCCCTATTAATTCATCCAATGAAGAACAAAATAACTTGGACAAAAGCCTCCAATCTAGTTGTGATTTTTGAGGTCCAGTAATGGCAGAGGCAAATAGCGTCCATGCAATACTGTTATTGCAAAGTGTACGTCCGTACACTTTGATAGAAGTAGAGAAGAGGGACTCCAACCTCCACTGGCAAGTGCAAAACATATTCACAAGTATCCCCTCAGCCGGGGCACGCACCCACACATTGTGTATGATTATGAGAGAAAGGCCAAAGTTCAGATTGAGTCAATTGATATTTTTCTCTGCTCCTTCCTCTCCTTCCGTTAGCTTTTCCTTCCTCTTGTGAGACAAACCCTCACCCATGCACCAGTTCTCAGCCTCCAGTATTCCTTCACCTGCAAAACCTTCTCTGATGTCCTCCATGACTTCTGATAGACACACCCACGGTGTCTGAGAATTTCTCAGGAATGCCAATGTTGCTTGGGAAATTACACCATAAAAGCCAAGGGACTTGGGCAGGCCCTATAGTTTTCCTAGTAAACTGAAATGTACTGCACACCGTGTGGCCCCAAGAAGTAGCCTGTGGTGAAGAAATGATATTTCCAGGAAACTCCTTACCCAGCAGAATGACGATGCAGGCAAGGATGGCAATGAGCGCCCCTGTGCTCAGGCCGGCGTTCAGAATGTAGGCCTCAGCATTGCAGGAGAGCAGAGCCCCATTCACATCGCATCCACAGACCTTGATTGTAAGGGTGTTGGTGCTGCTCATGGGGGGGATGCCACCATCACTGATCACGATGGGCAGGAGGTACAAATCTTGCTTCTGCCTACTGAACCCTCCCCGCCGTGCATATACCCCTGCTGTGTTATCTGTTAAAACAGAAGGACAAAAGGTATAATCGCATGGATCAAGACCACTGGAAGCACAGTTACATCAAGCTGGCGAGGTTTGAGGACATGTGTCACCTCACAAGGGCTCAGTATTAAGAACCTCTTTTTTTTTTCCTTTTTCTTTTTTTTTTTAATTGTGAAAATACCGTACAGAGGGGTTACAATTACATGGGCAAGATAATGAGTACATTTCTTATCAAGCATTGTAGCCTCTTCCTTTGTTTCCCCTTCCCATCCCTTCCCATCTCCCACTCCCGGCCCCCCTCCCCCAAAGTTGTAAAGTTCCTTTTTTGGACATAACGTCTTGTACATCTCATTGTTGCAATGTGTCCACCTGTATCCCTATTTAAACAATTTGTTTTTTCCCTTCCCCTCTACAAATTATACCAACATCAAATACATTGAAAACAGGGGTTATACCATGGGGGAGGGACATACAAAGCAACAAAGAAATCATCTTGCAAATACGTTAGAAACAATAGCAAGAAAGCAAAAAACATTTGAGTCCTTATCTTGGTCTTCATTTCACCTAACATCAACATATCTGACCATTTCTGCTTGTCTCAGACATATACTAGTGATTGCAAATAAGGGAAACCATGGGACCTATGTTTCTTTGGGCCTGGCTTACTTCACTTAATACAATTTTTCCAAGTCTTTCATTTCCTAACAAATGGGGCAATGTCATTTTTTCTGATGGAGACATAGACTTCCACTCTTTTCTAATGCTTAGAGTTCATTGTGGTAAGCTTCATTCTATACGATCCTATGCAATTAGTCATTGGGCTATTGTGATCCCCTGCTAGTTATTACAAATAAGGGAAACCATGAAATCTATATTTCTTTGGATTTGTCTTGCTTTGCTTAATATAATTTTTTTCCAGGTCTTTCCATTTCCTTTCCAATTCCACTCTTTCTGATGGAAGCATAGAACTCCATTGTGTGTGTGTGTGTTTGTGTGTGTGTGTGTGTGTGTGTGTATACCACATCTTCTTGATCCATTCATCTACTGAGGGATATCTGGGTTGGTTCCATATCTTAGCTATGGTAAGTAATATTTTCTTTCTCTTTTAGTTTTCTGTATACTTTGCCTTGTTTATACATGTATCTGATCCATGGAAGGGACAGGGAATCACAGAAACAGCAGGACAAAGGATGATCAAATGCAACAATGATGAACTAAACACTAAACACTATGTTGGAAATGAATTTTACAACCTGGGGGCAGGGTGTGGGGGGTGGTAAGCAAGAGAAAGTGAGGGAGGGGCAACAGGGTTTAACAAGAAATATATTCATTAACTTACTTATGTAATCCTCCTGTTCATCACCTTTACAATATAAAAGCAAATCTTAGCAAAACGAAGATAAATAAATAAAGCAAAAAACCAAGGGCTCAGTAGCTATGTGCATATGATCATCTAAAATGATGCTTATCAAAATGAACTCCAAGGAATGGAAACAAAAGGTTTTCTATTTTACTTTTTGAGATTATTTCCTCCCTCTCCACTTGAGTTTTTCTCCTTTTGTTGCTATTTTCAATTTCTGTAATTTTGGTCTTTTTGGGGGGGGGGTTGGTCGTGGGGCTTGAAATCCGGCTGGGCACTGTCCCTCACAGCTCTTTCGCTCCAGACTAGCACTCTACCACTTGAGCCACAGCGCCACTTCTGTTTTTCTGGTGGTTAATTGGAGATAAGAGTCGCATGGACTTTCCTGCTGGGGCTGGATTTGAACCGAGATCCTCTGATTTCAGCTTCCTGAGTAGTAGGATTACAGGCATGAGCCACCGACGCCCAGCTAACTTTTGTATGTAAGTTTAACTGACTTGGGAAGGGGAAGGGAAGCACAGAAATGGTAGGACAAAGGGTGAATGAATTCAGCAGTGATATTCATAAGACACTATGTTGCAAATGAACTTTACAACTTTGGGTGGGGAGGGGAACTGGGAGAAAATGAGGGAGAGGGTGACACTCTTAGCAAGAAATATAATCAATACCTGACTTATGTAACTATAACCCCTCTGTACCTCACCTTTACAATAAAAATTTTAAAGCACAAAAATAAAGCTATCTAAATTAAACAATAACAACAACCAGAATCTTTCCTACTTCTTCTGTAATCTAAGTATCCACAGAGGCCACTGTCATTTAGTATGCCAGTATCACAGAACAATCTCTACATTTGGGGAATAAACCAGCAACTGGCTCTTTCTCAGTTAGTTGGTACCAAATCCCTTCACTGGCAAGCAAACCACACCATATTCTCTTTAGATGTTGCTCCTTTCACCAAACCCCACTCAGGAGGGGTTTGCTGTACTTTATATGTTAATAGAGCATATAAGTGGATATTTAAGTCAGCATGAGGACAAACTTTTTTTTTAATAAGCTTTTTTCCCCCTACTGACAATTATTCTACCTTGGCATGTCTTTTGCCAATTTTTCAACATTTTTCTTTTTGAAGAAATTGCAAGTCAACCCTCAAATTTTAATTATATCATGAACTCATTCATAAATCCCAAAGGAAATTATCTTCAATGAAGAAGTACTTGAGACCAGGAGCCAGTGGCTCAGGCTTGTAATCCTAGCTATTCAGGTGGCTGTGATCTGAGAATCAAGGTTCAAAGTCAGCCAGGGCAGAAAAGTCCTTATAAGTCTCTTATCTCCAATTAACCACTCAAAAACTGGAAGTGGTAATATGGCTCAAGTGGTAGAGCACTAGCCTTGAGCATAAAGAAGCTCCAGGACAGTGGCCAGGCCCTGAGTTCAAGCCCCATGACCAACACACACACACACACACACGAAAAACCTTGCAGCAGAATCATTTTTTTAACCTAAATATCATGGGCCACACTATTAAGCCTGTCCAACCCTTGCTTAAAACAATCTTATTTTCTTTGCTTCTCACATAACACAACCCAGCCCTACACAGTGGGCCATGAAGTGTTCTCGTTGGCTAAATTTGCACTTGCCTTCCAGGTTTACATCCTTCCTCTTCTTACATGACCTGGCTCGGCCTGACATAGATAATGCACTTCTGTTCCCCGAGCACACGATGCTTTTCCACCCTTGACTTCCATTCTCCTTTCTACAACTCTCTTGTTCCCCAAAGCCATTCCTTTTATCCTGACTGCTGAACTTCTCAAGGCTCAAAATTGAATTCTGAAGACATGTCCTCAGGAAGGCCTCCCTGGACCCCCCCCCCATCATCCATCTCCTCTACAACTCCTACAGAAATAAGTGGCGTAATAGTCTGTCATGATTTGTTGACATAACCACTCTGACCTCAATAAGACCGTGAACTTCTGGAGAAGAGGGAATTTATCTGATTCATCTCAGGCTGTCCAACACTAGCCACACAGCAGACATTTAATAAATATTTGTGTAACATATGGTTGTAACTGCTTTCTGCGAAAAGTTTAACCCAAAGTCCAGATGTTGGCCTTCCTGTACTTCTCAATCACTTGTAAACTATACCTCCAAAATGTTTCTTCATCATATTTTCTCTACTGGGAAAACAGATTGTTTTCCAGTATGCACTTTTCCAGAAGAAGAACATCGGTATTATAAGACAGAAGAAAATTAAAATATGTCTCATTAAGTTTACACACACATACACACACATGCCCACACTGAACCTCTGGTATGGTCTGCATTTTGTGGGTTAAGGAATGGTCATTTGTAGCAAAATAAATATGGCAACCTATATAAAAGCCCAATAATTGGCACGCTTTAACTAGGTTGCTAATACCATTAATTTACTCTGTAATAGGGAAAAATATTTTGCCACCCAAAATTACTTTTATTTAGCTTAAAGAAGTGTGTTTTTATACTCTGTAAGGTCCTTGTATGACAGATTCATTTTCATTTAGGGATAAGCAGATGTAAAAGGAAGAAGTATGCATTCACTGGTTTTGATGTATACTTATAATGATAGATTCTCAAGACTTTCCCTGCCAACAGCTCAATCAAAACAACGCAGAACAGCTCTCTTGTCAACATTTTCTCCATTTTTCATGATTGGCATATTTTGCTTTTATCACAAGAGAAAAATTATATATACTATGGCAAACAGAGAGAAGGAGCAAATTAGTCAATTAAAATTTTAGTCACCTGACTGTTCTTTTCTGTTTTAGGTGATTCTACTTTCTCACACAATTACATTTGCTGGCCTCTAATAAATTATTCAGAGATATTCATCTGCTTTTCATACTTTGGTGTTCAAATATAAGTTCCATAAATCAAATGTTACAATATTTATCCCATTTTAATTACCTGAAATGTCATTAATGCCATCATGACTAAAAATGAATATTAAAAATTTAAGAAGATAAGCAAATTAATTAAATTGCTTGGTCAAATATAACTCTGATAGAGATGAAACTTGCAGAAGATCATTCATTCAGCTTACATATTGGATCTGGCCTTGTTTGAGGAAATATGAACAGAGTATTTTTGTTTTTATACACTTGTAGATACCATAAATTAAAAAGGAATCTCAATGAGCCCAAGAGAGGTTGCACCTCCCAAATACAACAGACAAATATACACGTGGAAGTGATGAAACAAGATGAAGGAAAACTTGGATCTGAGCACACCAGCATTTAAATGGAAGATGTTTCATCTTCTTGACAATTGAGCCTTCTAAGATACACTAAAACACTTACACAAACACTCGCCAAAGTACTCAGCTGACTGAACCATTTACAGTCTCTGAGTGACACGTCAGTAGATTCTCAAAAACCTTCTTTAAACCTCTCTTCAAATACAACAGGCTTTGCATACAGATTTGAAGATCAATTCAAGATATGGGGAAGAAATGGATTAAGGGGCTCTTCCAGAGATAACAATTGTATACGTTAAAATGAGTCCTTTCTTTTTCCCATCTGGAGTCTAGCTGACTAAATTTTGAAACCAGGAGTTCTGTTTATATGCAGCATACCTAATGAGTTGTCTCTGGGACTAAATAACATGGCATGAGGCAGT